GTGAAGTGCTTGCAGATGTCGATGGTCTGATTTAAGGTGGCCGTTCCTGGAAACCCCAGAGAGGAGAGAGCCTGGAATGGCAGTCCTGAGCCCCCTGCTCCGTTCCCCCCACCCCAGGAGCCTGCTTCGGGGTCACTGCTGTCTGAGAGAGGGGAGAACACCCGCATGGGGCATACCTCCCAATAGGTGTGCTGTTGCATGGGACTCCCAGCATCACCTGCAACACACCGGCCATCTCCATGCCTCCCCCCCGCCAGGGACTGTGGGCAGGCCCATCCCCCTCTCCAAGGCCAGCCCAATGAGCTTGCTCCGATGTGGGGCCAAGGAGCCAGCACTGGCCTGTCTGCACGGACTCAGTTAAGGAGCGGTCGGAGGATGGAACAGGCTGCAAAGCTGATTCTAGGGGATCCCTTCCCTATCCATCCCTGGAAATCTGGCCAGGCCCCAGCTCAGGTCTTCAGTCACTAGCTGTTGGGGGGGCCTCGCCCAGGCCCCATGTGGTCACTACACCAGCATCCTGGCCAAGCTGTGAGCCTGGCATAGTAGGGGCTGCTGAAGCTCGGAACTGAAGGGAAGCGGCATAGGGGCTCTGGCTCCTCACTTCCCAGAGTGCTCTTGTGATCCTTCACCCCAAAGTGCTGGGCACCGGGGGCAACATCCTGAACGGAGGGGCCAGGAATAAAACAGGCGGGGTAACTTTGTGCCCAAGACCAATGTTAGCCAATCCGCGGCACACTCAGGGGGTCTGCACAGCAGCTGGGAGCGGGAAATCTCAGTACAGGCAGACTCACATGCACTACGTCTACTGGAGCTAGTGCCCGGGAAGATTAGCATGGCTGTTGCAGTGCTGGCAGCGAGATGGGCTAGCCGCCCAAGTACAATCCTGCACCCCAGTGCTGGGACTCACACCTCCCCGCTGCAGTGGAGACGTGCCGTGAGTACATCCCGACTCCCAACTCCAAGCAGGATTGCTGCTCCCCTCCTCTAGGCTAGGTACAGTCCATACAGCTGTGACCCCTGCTCACTGTGTGGATGGTGTGTGGAGGGGGAGGCTATGGGGGCACCCCTGTCCGGACAAATGACAAAGGCCCAAAGCAGCAGCTTTCAGCGTTACGATGAACGGGCAGCTCCCCAGCTCAGAGCTGGCGCTTCAGGCACCCGCACACTCAAGCAACTGTCAATTATCTCATTAGCTACCCTTGGGTCACACTATCATGCTTTCCTTTGCGACGATAAGGGCTAGACACTGAGGTTCCTATCTGATCCCACGACTCCATTCAGCACACACAGCACAGCAAAGCCTCTCTTGGAGCCGGGGAACCAAACAGAGGGCTGCAGGGCTGCCCCTGCAAAGGGTGACCACCTTTGCCTGGCTGTGGAGACCCAACCCCTACCAGCAGGCTCCCAGCCAGTTGTCAGAACAGACTGTAAGTGACTGGCCCAAGGGCACATAGCACATCAGTGGCAGGGCGGGGACTAGAACCCATGGCATTCTGACTCCCCTCCGGATGCTCACTCCAGCAGCCAGTGCCCCACACCCTGTCTAGGCCCTCTGGCTGGCGGAGCTGGGCTCTACCATGCCGTGAGATGGAGGGAGAAGGGGTCGCTGAAGCTCTTTTCCAGTTCTGTAACTAGAAAGACATTTTTGCTGGATGGCAGCCTGCCTCTTTGGCACTCGGAGCCAGATGGGGCCGTGTGATTTGTGTGCTGGGCCTAGCATTCTGTACAGCGTTAGTGTCATATCCCATCAGTCCAGCAGTGTCAAAATAACCCCAGCGTCTGGGTAATGGCGCTGTTCCCAGCGCATGTGCAGCACAGGGAGGCACACCAGGTACACACACAGCCTGGAAGAGATGCAGCCAAGCTGGTCCAGCGCTAGCAGAAAGGAGATTTAATTTACCGATGCTCGAACTTCCAGGGCCCATCCCAGGAAGCCCCGGGATCCCGCCTTGGCCGTTTGCCCCATTTGGTCCAATGCCTCCAGGTCCACCGATTCCAGGCCCGACACCATTTGGCCCAAACCCAGGAATCCCAGGGAAGCTCCCAGAGAAGCCCGGCACGGCTGGGAGCCCTTCAATGCAGAGCCTGCGGTACTCGTCTGAAAGGAAACAGCCGCCTGAGTGTCACTTCAACTCCACACGCCGAATGTCCCTGCCCGTCTCACATGGGAGGCGGAGGTAATGCCAGCACGAAAGCAACAGTGGCTGGGGGCAGGGAAGGCATGGGGCTTGGGGCAGGGTGGACTGGGAGAGAGCTTGACTCCCCTTCATCAATGAAGCCCAGATGAGGCGGGTCTTATGGTGGCATTTGGCCAGTAGCTCCCACACTGCAGCGATGGGAAGAGCCCTCTGCTCTGTGCAGCCGGCACGAAGCTACTGGGAGGGGAAGTTGGTTGTTGTGCTGCTGCTATTGGCTTTCCAGTGGCAGCCCCTGTAAGGAGCTTGGCCCTGCTTTCTGGAGGGGCAGATGGAGGCCCGAGAAGGGGAAGCGCAGTCACGCAGCAAGGCAGAGCTGGAAATAGACTCCCAGAGACCCAATTCCCAGCCCTCTGCTGCAGCCCTCGGCTCCTTCTGATCTCTTCCCAAGCCCAGGGAGCCAGGGCAGGGCTGGGGTGGGGAGGTTGCTGCCCCTGCTGGACCCGTTCTTCTGTTCTTTAGAAAAGGGGGAGCGGGCCAGGGGCCCTTACTCCTGAATTCCCTGGCTTTGTGCGATCGCAATGCGACCCTCATCGACCTTTCCCCCCCAGAAACACTCACCAGCACAGCTCACGGACGTTAAGAACAGGTCGCACTCAGTGGGGCGCTAGTGGCTTTCCCATTGTGTTGCTTACCGGATCCCCTGACGGGGCACATTTCAGGGGTCTGCCCGATCGCCCAGCAGCGCCCGGAGTCGCAGCAGCACTGCATCTTGGTGTACTGGCCCGGGAGCTCCCCAGCGCAGCGCCCGCCAATCAGCGCTGAGAAACATGTGCCAATCCGCTGGTCTGCAACAAGGAGGAGCAAGAGGAGCCACAAGTGATGGGGGGTGGACTGAGAAGAGAGGGTCCCCTCACCCAGCCAGTCCAAATCAGCCTCTCCGAGGGAGACAGGCGATGTGGATCAAGAGAGGCATATTTCTGGGGCCCACTTCCTCAGGGCTGGATTGCAACTCTGTCAGGGATGGGGGGGACTGGCTCCTGAGAACAGCAGCACTTCCCAGGGCCTCCTTCCTGAGCATTTCCAGTTGGAAAGGCCCAAACTCGGTGTGACGTTATCTGATTAGATCAGGGGTTGGCAACCTACGGCACGCGTGCCAAACACGGCACGCTGCCTGCCCGGTGAGAGGAGGAGGGGCGGAGGGGCCGGAAAGCGCCAAGCTGGGGGAAGAAGGGAGAGGAGGGAAGCTTGGCTGCCGCAGAACCAAGCTTCTGCCTCCTGCCTCCGCAGGGGAGAGGGGGGGTCCC